CTACCAATCCATCAGCTGGGAAGAAACCTCCTGGGCAATAGCATGTTTCGAGTACCACTACCAGTTCATCAGCTGGGAAGATACCTCCTTGGCAATAGCATGTTTCGAGTACCACTACCAATCCATCAGCTGGGAAGAAACCTCCTAGGCAATAGCATACTTCACGTACCACTACCAATCCATCAGCTGGGAAGATACCTCCTTGGCAATAGCATCTTTTGAGTACCACTACCAGTTCATCAGCTGGGAAGAGACCCTTTGGGCAAAAGCCCGCGGAAGCATCAAAGGAGATGACAGATTCTTGTGCACAGCGGGTCAAGAGACTTTTTGTTTCACCTCAGACCAAACTGTATTGCTACTTCCTTGATGAACTACTTCCTATGTTTGAAGGATTTAATACCTACCTTCAAAATGAAGCCCCTCTCATTCACAGATTACGAAGAGAGTTCTTCAGTCTGTTGAAAAAATACTGGTCCAATTTGTTAAGCCAGCAGTTATCAGGGAGAGTGAAAATGTGTGTGGGGTGAATTTCAGACTGAAATCCAATCAGAAAGTAGATGCAGGACTTGTAGTTGGAGCTCAAGTTAGGAAGTTCATTGATGCAGAAAAGAAAAAGAGGAAAATCCCACAGGACGGCTGATTCACTGTGATTGGGCTGCATTTTACTCAGCTGTGCATCTCTATTATGAGACTGCATGTCAGTACATTGCGACAAATTCCCCCTAAATGACGATCTTTTACTTCATGCTGAAGTTGTGGATCTGGAATCAATAGATGAAAAGACATATGCATCCCGTGCCTACTTCATAAACAGGTTCAGCTGTTTACTACCTGACAGTTCTCAGTTAAGTCAACTTGAACAAGAGTTTGCATTCTTCCAGGTGGACAGTCTAAAGCCAGAGATACTCTCTATGGATCGCATAGATGCTCAGTGGCATGAACTGGCCAAGGCCACTCCATCAGATAGGACTCATCTCTACGGTGTATTGGCTCCTGTGATGCTTGGAATTTTGGTACTTCCTCACTCAAATGCAACTTGTGAACGTATTTTCAGAATGGTGCGAAAAAAAAGCCAGTGGAAACATTGGAAGTGCTCCTTGTGCAGAAAAGTGCAGTGAAAAAACCTTGCCACCGATTCAAACCCAGCAAGCAATTGCTTCAAAAAGCCAAACAAGCCACAAATCAATCTCTTCGGCACTAGGAGGGCAAAGATAAGTTAAAATATGTATGCATTACACTAAATATCAACTCAAGTAATGAATCCCCACTTTGTGGCACAATTAGTTCCACTCATCAAAAAAAATGGCCCTGAAAATTTTTTTTTAATAACACAAACATTCCCTTAAAAATCACACTTACATGTACTTGTACATTTAATACTGTAAACAGGAAAAATATGTTGGGAAAAAGGGCCAGGAAATGCCTCAGATTGCACCACAGAGCATCTAGAACCCAAAATTTCCCAGGGCCCTTAAGTGGGCCCCGGACCCCACGCCGTAAGGGCTTCGCGCTCTGCACACACAGGATTACACTTTTTTATTTTCAAATGTTGGCATCTCTACTGATATGTGAGTAGCCAATTTGACTGTGGTGGTACATGTATGTACACAAATTCATTTGCTGAGCACTGGAGAGTCTGGCTTGATGTTACCAGCCAACTGTCAATGTCCAACTGACTGTTCCTGGTTCTCTGTTAATTCTTGTTAAGCACATGCATCTATCCAGCAACATTTTACACAGCTTATTGGAACCAAAGAGATACATGTACCTGTACACTTTTGTGCCACTAAGAATAAACATGGTCACTGCCACAGTTTCTGTACATCTGTGGCTTGTTTTCGGGGGGAGGGGGCAGGGTATTTTTAAACCCTGGCAAGGCTGCACATGATCTCAGTGAACATGTATGTGATACGAACGCTGAAGGCTTGTGAAATTCATTAAAATTTGTGCAGTGTAAGCTGCTCAATTTTGACCTCAACATTTTTCTTACCTGCAACAATCGCAAGAAGTACACCAACATGTAACTCACAAGTGGAACAGTTTACTTTTACTCCCAATGCTTAAAGGTGTCCCAGACCAAGCCAATGATAAACATGTACCAATTACAGGTACAACTCCTGTTAACTGAAGCACTTAAGCTGAGGACAAACCAGCTGAAATACTGAGTTGGGGTCCATCAAAATTTCAGAATTTCAAGACTCTGCAACTTGACAGTGTTACAGAGCAAAACACCCATAAGCATTGGCTAACAACACCGGCACAACCCACAGAAATTCTGAAGCTCTCTTAGTGGGTGATGCATAGCAAATTATCAACAAAGCACAATATACTGTATACATGAGCAAATGAACTTCCAAAGCTCAACTATGGCTCTGTAGAACAAAATGCCCACAAGGCATTGGAACAGCAAACGACATTTTCCAATGGAGATTGTGAAGACCCACATTTCAAACTTTCCTGTCGTTTACTTAGCAACCAACTCGTTTCTGTTCAATAAATCTACTGGTATACATCTGTACATATTGTTGTTTCCATGTGTGTAATGGTAAACTAGCATGTACATGTAACACTAAAATCGTTTTGTATGTATATATCATTTTTTCTTCTTTTCATTTCGGCAACTATTGGACTTTGATAAAAACATGCCTCACATATGGAATGTTGATTTTCCCAGAACGGACCAGCCATATCGGGAAATCTGTAATCAGACACACAGCACATGCATCTACATGTATAAAAATAAATAAATAAACAATTGCAACAAAATTAGCAGTCTTTTTATAAACATTTTTGCTTGTTGTTTCTTACAATACTAGTGTTGTCATCTTTCTGTTTACACTTCCACTGTGTCTCGGTTAGAAAGGGGTGTCACACATGAATCCTTCGTTAGTGCATGAGTAATGCTTAAAACATGACACATGTAACAGCTTTCCTTGCAAAATACATTCTGAGCGAAGGAAGTTCAGTTTTTTCAAAATATAGAAAAGCCAGGTAAAATGTCAAAAGAATTAACAGTCCACATTGACACGAGAGATTTTCCCAACTTGGGGATATTTTGGGAAATTCTCTATACCACTATCTATTGCATGCAACAACACTATCTATTGAATGCTGAGTAGAAGTTCGGAAACAAATTTCGAATTGTAACACCCTGCAGAGTGAAAGGTGTCAACTTGCATTCTAAAAACCCATCTTTCAACAGAATGTACCAAATCACACACATTGACTGTTCACTGAGACATTGTTACCATTCATCAAAACCCGGTCTCTCGCAGTTTTTTCATCATGCTTTTACATGTATCTGGTAGCATCAACAAACTGGTTTACCTCAGATTTTCAAAAGGTAAAGAAGCAAAAACGATCATCCACAATTATGTACATGCAAACACTCTTTTGAATGCTGCCAAATATAAATGATCTCAAATAATGTCTTTTACAAAATAAATACTTAAAACAAACAAAATAATGCGCTGCATACATATACTCTATTTATATACAAAGGGGTACCAACAGAAACTCAGGGAACTTTTCATAATTCTGATGCGATTTTCTAATATTTATTCATGAGTATCTTGATCAGTTCACATTCTGATTGGTGAAGTTTTATCATGTGATAATGCTTACATCTCGACAGAACTAAGGAATTCTCACAAAGAGAGAGAACAGAATGGACTGTCGGTGGCTTCCAGTGCATGAGAAGTGTTGACACAATGTGTTTCCTTCACAAACATTTTGGACAGCTGAAACCAAAGGATTTTTGTCAGAAGTTGTAACTCTGCAAATAAACCAGCTTCATACAAGGCCCCATGCAGATATGAGCACATGCTACATGTACAATCATGACAATGTGCAAACCATGGGCAGACGTTACATGGAAAACACACATTTACATGTACATTTGCTGACAATATTTCCTTTTCATTAACTTAGTTACAGGAGTACAATATCAATACTTCCTGCCATAATTAAGAAATGTATTAATTTAAATCGATAAATGCCTATCCTGTTTATTCTTCATACCTCTGTCCATGTGTCTGAGTCCTCTGAGAAGTCTGGTTGCCACGACGAAGGTGGGAGGTCAATTAGGGTTGCGGCCCGTGGCTTCAACTCCTGGTGGGCTCTGTCCATTCTGGGATAAGTTGATGACAATTTGCTTCACATTGATTCCAAAAACAAGTAAACCTTATTTCTTCTGTGACACAGTTTTACTTCAAAATAGGGGCCAGATTTTGTGTTAATACAGGATTTTAGGGTTAAAATAACCCTGATGAAATAACATGGGGGGAAGTTTGTTCTGGTAAATTTGATTTTTGGCCCCTTATAATAAGACTTTTATATATATGTATGGGTACATTGGGGTACATTGATTGATTCTGAAGAATTTTGAAAAAAAAGTAGGGATTTTGAGCTTCAGAATTAAATTTAAATATTAGTCAAGTTCTTTGTACAATGACTGCCAATGTGTCCCAAGACGTACAGTAGTGCCAGCAAATAGCGTCAATTTAAACATAAAATGCCAACTTGTGCCATTCTCTAGTCTAATTACTAGACCTAACTGATATAACAACATTCCTCTTTCACCTTTAACGTTTCAAAGGAGATGCTGACAACACTATGCACTGAAACTTTACCAGAAAGTGACAGAAACTCTACTTTTGAAAACATATGCCAGTTGACATCATGGACTTGAAGAGTGAAAGGGTGGATTTAAACTAGAATGTTTAAAACTGGATAAGGGCCCGGTGGAGACAATAATGGACCCAGCAGAAGAAGGACTCCATGGTGTAGGGTGAAATTCCAACTTTATGAAATGTAGACTTTAGTGGTTGTACTGTGCATGCCTACAAGACAGAGATGACTGTCAGGTGTGAGGGTAAAAATACATAGAATAGGAATCAACATTTCATATAAATCCAGCAAAGTGTTGACAACCAGTTGACTCCTTTATCTTCAATTAAAAACCACTCATGTGGAGAATTCTCAGCTCACAGAAATGGGTGAGCTGTCTGAGGTATTGTATATTTGCAATGGACAATACAGTAAACTCCGGCTAAGTCAGTACTCTCGGGACTCAACAAATGATGACGACTTACGCAAATGCCGGCTTGTGTTGTACATGTAAGTTGTTATTTTGCTGACTTACACATACACATGTATTGCCTATGTACATTATGATTCCTTGCACTAATTCAATGGCTTTAGTTTACCCTGGTTTATTTCTACCTCCATGGTCGATTCCATTAAATTTGTTCCCGATTATTATCCTGCAAGTTCAATAATTGATCATGTGCCCCTAAGGACGAAGCAAGGACAGCAAGCCACTTGCATATCACATCACAACTCGACAGTGCTGTACATATGTACATACTTGTACGTGATACAGTTGGGGTAAAACATTCACTCATCCAAACACGCACATTGGTTAAGTTCGTTCCATATAGTCTGGATACCAGACTCAATGATTATGACTACCCGACAAATCATTATCAAGGGTCATCCGGGAATCTTTGGGCAGGGAACCAGACTACATTCAATAAGGCGACCCCCAAAATGGACAGAGCGCATGCGTGTAGCACTAGAGGGGTTGCTGGTATTGATGTACTCATGCTGGCCGTGTGCGCATAGGATTTGTCACTTGGCAATTCTTGGCAACTGCGGCGAAGGAAACCGATACCGAAGCACGTGTTTTTAAATGCCAACTTACACAAAGGAATTTTTGTGGTTTTGTGGACAAGGGACCGAGAAAAACATGCCAACATATACAAAATGATGCCTTATAAATGCCGACTTATAAATGAAATTTTCAATGGAAATACATTACAGACAATTGGGACTTTTGTCAAACGGCCGACTTGGACGATATGAGGGGTTACGCAATGTCCACTTAGTTGGAGTTTACTGTATTTGCTTGCACCAATTTTTGGGGTGGAAAAACTGTATGTACATGTATTTATGATGAAGATGTTCATTCATTCATTGATTTGTGACAAATTGTTGACTTGTAAGATGGCAGATAGATACAAAAAAATAGTTCTGCTTCTCATGATATGTGCATGGCATTTGAAAACAGGGTAGGTAGGTATGATTTTTTTTTCACTATTTTCACTGATTTAATGCACAGCTGAGTGTTAACCTGTTAACTGATTCAATACAACGACGACAAACGAGGTCACATGACACCATTTCAAATTAATCAGCAACACTTTAAAGGATACTAGTTGCATGCATAAATAATTCTGCTGAAGCTTCAGCCACTACATTCAAACTAACCTAGTCGCCTATTTCCTTTATATATTTCCATTTTCATATTTTCCCCAAATTTTCCCTTTAAAAACTTCGAGTCACACCATCAAAATGGGGGAAGTTTTTGGGAGGACCTTATCTTACCCGCTGTAGAGCTGGTGGCTGTATTCCATATACTGCCGATGCATGCGAAACTGGCGCCGGCGCTTGCGCTCGTAACGCCGGTTCTTGTACTCGCGGCAGGCAGCATAGGTTGCATAGGCTGGTCCCAGGGCCACCAGGAGAACGCAGCCCACACCCACAGCCAGCGTGATGCAGACAGGAGCAGCAGCGATCTTGCATCCTGATAATTGTAGAAAAAGAGAAATACGGAGACTTGCAACATGGACAGACACGACACCAGCCCTTACTTGAGAGTGTGAGGACAAAACAAAAATTTAAAATGAAGTTATGGGGCCTATGCAGCGGTGCATGCTGTGAACTGTAGGGATCAACATGGAAACTTGGTCTGGTGCTTTTGACAACAGGAAGAGTCTTCCATAAGGGTAGGCTAGACATCTGACCTTGCACATACACCTTGCCTTAGTGAAGAGCAAATTCATGACCAGATCCCACAAAAGGAGCCTTGAGATCTTTTATTTTCATCAATTTTGTTTCAGCTTACATTAGCAAGAGGAAACTGCGCACAGAAAAATACCAGCTTAATTCTTGGGAGCAGGGGATTTCATGAAACTCGTTTCAACACAAGTGCAAGACAACACTCCAAAGGGCCCCAAAATGGTCAGGGTAAATCTGGTGATATTGGTAAAAATAGGTACAGATGGATAAAGACCCCCCCTCCCCTACTCTCTCACACCCAATTCCCTCAGTCACCTTCCCCATTCTCTCCCATCTTAACCCTCACTTCCTCCCTAGGATTAATGACAGCAAATGGTCATACCACAGAGGGTGTCCCAGATCAACTATCACTTGACAGACTTAATGGGCAGCTCTTATCCCCTTATTCCACCGTCTCCACCCCTTGGATTGATGACGACAGAATGGCCTTTCCAAAGATAGTGTCCCAGATCAGCTCGTGCTCGGTAGCCCCTAATCCCCCTTCTGCCCACTGCCAAGGTTAATGATGGCAAATATCTTTACCAAAGAAGGCACCCTGGATCAGCTTGCACATGACAGGCTTGTTGGGCAGCTGCCATCCCCTGTTCCCTCCCCCCTTCCCATCCTGAGCATTAATGACGGCAGGGCAGCCTTACCAAAGATGGCGCCCCGAATCAACTTGCGCTTGACTGGTTTATTGGGCAGCAGGCGATACTTGCAACCAAATACACTGAAGGCTGAGTAATGGTTGCCAAAGAACTTGACGTAGTAGAAGCGCTCGCCGCAGCGGTAGCAGAACGACGTGCGGCACTGGCTGCAGGTCATGTTGTCGCAACCTGAGCTTCGCTGGATGTACACCTACAAGCAGCATACCACAGAGAGACCAAAAAAGGTATTTTATCATCATTGTTCTGTTAAATGAGAATTATGGCTGAAATTAATCCACAATATGGTCTAATCAGAAGATGTCGAAGCACTACGTGATCACATGGAGAATGACTACCATTAAGCAAGGCAAGGATTTGGTCTTTAACAAAATGGGACCAGTTTCATTAGTGCAGAGAACATTTTGCTCAGCAAACAGGTTACTGCCAAAGAAGTTATGGTACACACGTACATGTACACTCCTTGTGACTGGTACTCTGCCAAAAGTCAGATTAATATGCTAAAAGCAGCTCTACAGTTTTGTTCAGACATCCATACCTTACACTTGGGGCACCGGTTGGCGTTAGGCTGTCCGTAGTGATGCTCCTTGGCCCATTCCTTCAGCAGCCGGTCCCCTCTCTGGTACTGCTTACAGGTGATATTCTCATGCCAGGGGGAGTGACAGCGGAAACACCACAGCATACCGCAAAGGCAGGTCACCTTCTGCTCATCTGGATGTGATTTGTGCTTGCTGGAAAGGGAATGTTCATATACAAACTGAGGCAAAGGTTGCCTACTGAGTGAAACACATACTGCCCTGTACCAAAGCCTACAACATGAATCCTGAGGCTGTTTTTCCCCCCTAGTAATTTTGTTTTGGTTTGTGCAAACCAACTGAGCTCTTTGTCTTTATGTACCAGTATTAGTGTGCCATCCTGATGAAAACAAACGCCAAAGGGGAAAAAGATGTTGAGGGTTGACATTGATTTTTACTGAGTGCAATTTTTTTTTGGTTTGTGCAAACCAACTGAGCTCTTTGTCTTTATGTACCAGTATTAGTGTGCCATCCTGATGAAAACAAACGCCAAAGGGGTAAAAGATGTTGAGGGTTGACATTGATTTTTACTGAGTGCAATTTTTTTTTCAAGGCTTTTAAATCAAAAGTGTCTCTGGTGACTTATGATTCATTTTTGTCAGGTTAGGCCACTATTAAGTGAGCAATTTACACTGTCTGAAGTCTGAGAACACCAAGTGCTTTATACAAAATTTATATCAGGTGACCAAAAACTCAATGTAGAATTATCCTAACACAAAACTGAATCACAAGTAAGCTCCATCAGTTATGGATAATTGCCGATATTGATGTACATGGCAGTCCAATATCCATAATACTGATATATTGAATTTTTTTAAAGAATGTTTTCAAGCTCAAAACCAATGGCATAATGCCAAACATCTTTTACAGTTAGGCGGCTCTGGTCCCTACCAATTGGTCCTAATCATGCAGCATGCAATAAGTCTGCTGGAATTAGCGAGCTTTTTTAATCTTCCCCAAACAAAAGAGCACATGACAATACCAACAACCTGCACTTAGTACAATATATTCGAATGTGAAGGCAATCTGGGCGGCCAACTTGCCCAAACCTTCCCCTGATTTAGTTGCTGATTCCCCCTTCATCCAATCACCATTGATGAAATTGCTACGCCACCATACGACATGCATATACATCACCCCCAACTATTGCATGTATGTATATATTCAGAGAGTGCGCAGGACCCTGATGCGTCATTCATGCAAGTTCGGGCAACGGCTATTTCTCAACCACTCGACGATTTTGCCTGGTGTCCTATAATAATATGCAAATTGTACCAGGCAAAAAACAAACACTAATGTTGAAGTCACAGCCACACGTATGTAAAACAGTCTTTGAGCTTCTGGCCGTCAAAGCTCCGCTTTTGTGAAGAGGAAAAAAAAAACAAATCAAAGGTACCTGTAAATTTGCTGACTGCTATTCTTGGCCATGAAAATGCGACACTTTTATTTCAAGACAACAACTACACTGTACTTCATTATAATTTTTTCCATTATATTGGCGCTTTCAATATATCAATTTCAATGTTAAAGTGATATTGTTTACATCTACATGTACCGGTATATCAAAGCACTGACCTTAGTACAAGCAGCTGTGATTTTCTCTGTATCATAGTTTGACAGACCCTGAGGGATGGGGGGGGTTGAGAAAATCTAATCTGGGGATTGCCAGGCTCGGAAATTACCGTCTAAATCACTTCAGCACAGCTTCCCCTAAATTCAAATAATACCTGAAGGACGCGTCATGAAAACAGGTGAATGGAGTTCCCTCCTTCCTTTTCATGGGTCGCCCACTGATGCTGTCTATTAGCCAAGCATGTAGGCTACATGTATGCCTGATGTACCTGTATGCTCAATTACTTTGGGGTGTGAGAATGGGAGCTGTGCCAAAATGATTGGATGTACATGTACCAGAGAGCGGGCCTGTGCAGTGGACTACAGCTTCTCCCTTCTTACCAGTTCCTTATTTCAATGCTCTGTTGAATTATTGGGCGGAGGATTAAAATGTTAATATCCAGAATCCAGACTAGTTTTCACATGAATGTGAGTGGTGGGAGTTTTTAAGTGTGGACTATTCTTCAGCAAATTCAAATATAAAAATTACTGCAAACTGCTTGCTGGTTACAGTGACCTTAAGTATTTAATCCACAAAATTTACACGGCCCAACGGTCTGATTCCAACAGAGTCTAAGATTCTGCATGGACTTTTCTGAAAGATTACACTACCTGATCAAGACATCTCGATGAAAGTTGGCAACGTGGTTACAACGTGGGCAGGTCTTCTGATCTGGATCGCTGTTCTCCTCAATCAGGAACCTCAGGAATTTTGTGAGGAGCTGGCTGCTAAGGTGGTGTTGTATCTCCTCACGGCAGATGGAGTCGCTACAGGCAGGGTTGGGGCAGCGAATGCTGAGGATGCGGTGTTGGACCTTTTCCCGGATGTACCACTGGAGGCAGGCGTCACAGACATGCAAGTGGCAGCAGAGCCTGGGCCGGCCAAAGGTCTCCAGCAGGCAGACCTGACACTCGGCAAACTCCTGCTCAGCCCTGGGGAACAGGACGCCCGGGTGGGCCGTGGTCGCAGTGGCTGAGACGCTCGGCTCTGTGTCAACAGGGACATAACCTGCTTCCTGCAGGCTCTCCAGGGAAGCGGGGAGGGAGTCCCGCATGCAGGCCAGCTTGTGGCGGTGGCAGGTGCGCATGCTCCCGCCAGACTGCCGTCGTCGCAGTCGCGGCCGGGCGGCACGAGTGGACGCACTCCCTCCTGTTGCCTCTCCAGTTTTGTCCTCCTCATGCTCGGCACTCCGTGGGCAGCGGGGGCATACACACAGCCCTGCACAGAGGCGGCAGACATGGCCACAACAGGCAGGCGGGTAGCTTAGACTTCGGCGGAGTGGGTTGGCCTGGCTTGGGCTGGCCTGCGGGGAGGGCAGGGAACTCAGCTTAGCCAGGGATTTCTTGCTTGTGCCATCTGATGTCTCATCATTTACAATCTCTCTGCCATCCAGCTTCACAGGAATTTCTGATTCCTCTATTTTCTCCTGGGCTTCTGACAAGGAATGTGTTTCTTCCATTTTTAAAGCACACAGCAGCCAGTATCTATCCAAACAAAAAAATGACAAAGACCTGAAAAAACATCTTCTAAAAGCAAAATGTAAATTCTCAATGTTTCCCTTCAGGGTTACTGAATATCTTTCCCCACACAAACAAAAAAAGGTTATTATACTTTATTTCTTCCCTAAGACAAGACCTTGATGACAATGGCTTAAACACATTCTTAGAGATGCTGATACATTATAAATATATGATCTACAAGTATGAAGGAAAAACAGACTAGTTCCTTAAATTTGTGGTTGGGGGGAGAAAGAGAGAATATTTAAACATCTGGAGTTTGAAAACAGCAGCCACATCATGCTGACAGTTATTTGCACCATACCAGGATCATTCAGCCCTCTGGCGAGACTGCACCTCCTTGCCCAGAGATCGTATTTCATGTGAAAAAAAAAATTCCCTCTTCGTAAATAAAATCCAACTTCAAATTTCTCTGATTTCTCCTCCAGCCTATGATTTATGGTTATTTTACCTCCTCGATCAGTTTATACATGTAATGCATTTAGAGCATATTGACAGCTTTCAGCATGTGACCCAAGCTTACCATCCTTTTCAAAAATGGATCAAGCGACTGAATGCTGAGCTGTAATCTAGAGTCAGCATACATGTACAATTGTACATATACATGTAATTTGTATGCACAATGGCAGCTCCCTGGGTCTGTCCTGGCTGCAGTATCAGTCAACCTGTTGAATAATAATGCAGTCGCTTGTACCTTAAGCATACATGTACATGTACATATACATTGTGCGTGTACATATGTATGCAACATCAATGTACACAAATTTCAAACTTACATGTCATTAGAAATACCGGTACCAAGATACAGCAATAAAGAAAGCAAAATCACTGCCCTGAATCTAGCAGGAAAATCCACATTAAATTGACAGTCCATGCAGTTTGGGTGTGGACAGACATGGCCACGGAGCTGTCTAAACTTTGAAAAGAACAAGTTTGACCATTTAAAGAGCCATATTTTGGAGGATTTGGAAAAAGAGCTATGAAACCCTGTGCACCGGGAAGTTGGAGGTTCTATCAAGAGGCCTTTCCTATTCATTTATACACTGCATGCTCAGAACACTTGCCCTGCACAGTGCCAATCAAGCAGCCTCCAAACCTCTGAAATGGTTCTCAAAAACAGGAAACGGAAAATTATTCAAGCGACCAGAAATAATGGCTGATTTAGAGTGGATAGTATTTATTCGGTATTACCTCACACTACAGCAAAAATACAGCGACAAAATGACACAACCCTAATGTCAGTTAAACGTTTATGTCCAAACTTACCAGTGCCACATTGACTATATGCACTCACGCTCTATAATATGTACATTGCACTTCTTGAGTTTACATGGGTATACTGCACTTAGGACACGTGCAGAGCCACTGAAGAACTTGTGGACTCACTGTGCTTTATGTGCTTCCTTATGGGCTATTTATAGAGCACCATACACAATTAGTGATGATGTCATTGGATGGTCTGTGAACCAGGCTTGCAAAGCAGATTGTAAACAAACATCCTGTGTAATGGTACATGTTACATGTAGTTCACTGGTAGCAACAATGCTTTTACAGACTGAATAAATTATGTGTGGCTGTTGTGCAATGCACTGTACACGTGTACACATGTACATGTACACTGAAAACAAGTACAGTACATGTACACATCAGAGCCGTTTTTAGCCAACTTGTCGGACAGGTTGTCCTGTCGAGTCATCAGTATGAGCTGGTTTGTGGCAGGAAATGGGCACTAAATGTAAACTTAACAGAAAAAAATATGTAAGATTTTCTCCCAATAAATTATGTGATTCTGCATTCTCTTAAAATGTGCAGTGGCTGATGTAAGGAATGTGGTAGGCCTAAGTAACTCTTTGACATTTTGGGAAAAATTTTAGGCACTGTCCAAGAGTCACCATTTGTTGGGAATCAATGATGTAAATTTCACTGGTGGAAAATCAAGAAATAATATATCTCCCCCCCTCCCCGAAAGAGGAAAAATTGAAAAAAATTGAAGTAAAACTAAAAGTTGGCTTGAGACAATGATGAGGCGAAGTACTTCTCTTCAATGCGGTTAATACCTATAACTTTGTTAGGCTGCCGTTTCACAGAAAAATCAACAGCCCTGTTTCCTTAACAAAGTGAAAAAGGAACAGAAACAAGATTATGAACAGTGTGTGTCTATCATAAGACTAGAATCCCAACAGGCCTGGTAATACACATATTTGTGTTATTCGTTTGTGTTCAAAGCAGGATACAATGTACTGCATGCATAAACCACAACCATCACAACAGCTCATGATCCCAAATCATTGAATACATGCACAGAGTTGTTTCAGTATCCACAGAGAAACTGAAACCACTACTATTTCATTCTCTCTTCTTTGTTTTTTTACTTTTCTGATTTTTTTTGGGGGGAATGGGTACAAAGAGCTCTGCAGATGTTGTTAGAAGTACCGCACCTCATCAACCAGTTAGAGAAGAAAAACTGAAATGTTGGATCTAAAAACCACTTGCTAATCTGTTGGGTGCTCAATAAATATATGATTTTTTCCTGCACTATATGAAGTATATGCTCCCATACATCCAAATATATACATTTGGATTAAGAATTATACATGTACTTGAGTTGGCACAGCAACCATTAATGAATAAAATTATTACTATTATTAGGAACAAAGTGTTCTTAATTCAGAGTTTCAACTTCAAGTTTCTTAGCCGATTTCATTTTTCCCTGGAACATGTCTCACTGGAAATTGGCGTTAGCAATTTACATGTAGTTGAAAATTTATTTCTTGAATTAACCGGCTAACAGCACTGGCATTTAACATGGAACTTCTGTACATGCATATCGGTGCACTTTTCCTGAAGTGTTTGTCAGTACCCAAAAAAATCAATTTTTTTAAAGTTCACAAGGATTCCTGTAATTGCTTAAACTTTGTCTCCAAAAATGAAAAGTAACAGAAAACAGAGAGTTGTGAGCAATACAGAGTGCACTTAGCATTAAGTGGACATATACATGTACCGGTATTGACAAACTTAAAATATAAGGTTCCTGACTTGCGCTTTGGACAGAAGTAATATAACTGCAGTGAGCATAGGCAGAAAGTCTACGTGTAGTTGGGTCTCTCCACAATAAGAGACACATTTGCACATAACCAAAATCATCTCTTTTTTTCAACAGTGTTGAGAGTCAAGAAATGAACTTTACCCATTTTTTTGATATTTGTATTATGTTTTCGCGCTCTAATTCAAACACCAGAAAAATGTCTGTCCATGTGACATACATTATATCTGTCCATGTGATAAACGTGATGTCTGTCCAGTGACAAATGTTAAATTATTTTCTTGAAAAAAAAATTTCAGTGTTTTCTACACTAGAATTGTTTTATAAGATAATGAAAGTTTCCAAAAGTAAACTAACAGAGTATTTCATACATTGCAGGTAATTTTCAATTGCGTTTTGAATTTAAATTTTATACTTAAGCAACAAATTACCTGTCCATGTGACAAACGTTATGTCTTCAAAAATGAACTTCTGTCATTTCTTTAATACTGCTCAATTTATCTTAACCTTTCTGTGGCAACAATCAGAAACAGTGAAGACATAATGTAAGCGAACAATAATAGCAACATTTTACAGTTGGAAATTTGTACTGAATGTCATGCAGATTTGTCTTTTACTGTGGACAGACTCAGTTAATATTGACGAGCATGTTTGTTCACAATTTATCAAATGTCAAAACGGTACTTCCCAAGGGCATTTGTATCAATGAACTACACCACAACCGCATAGCTAAGGTTCATGTCTCTTGCAATACGAGACTTTTACATGTATAATTGGTCAGTTGTGTACGAACAATTTTGAAAGAAAGGCTGACTGGGCAGGAATAATTCTGGGTGATTGGTCGATCATGCTGGAATGGGTCTGCATGATTGACTATGAAGACATCAACCATGCAACAATGTGTTGGAGTGGTCATCCGAAAGTTCTGTGAATGGTGGACCCAGTTTTGGCACAATACGTTTAAACCAGTGACACAGACCCATTGATTGTATGGAATAAGAACATTGCATAAGTGAATGCAGAACACGGGAATATTGGGAAGAGTTCTATACATGGGCATCATACCTTGTGCACAAACCCTATAAGGCTGGTCTGAAAAATTGTGTTTTCTTGGTAAATAATTCGATATTTTCCAGTGGAATTGGACTTTTTAAAACATGTTATGGCTTCCAGATGGCTGACATGCCACTGTACGGAAAAACTAGCAATGTCCGTGTATGGAACTCTTTCCAAGATATTTGCTGAAAGTCAATGCAGAAATTTATGCGTATTCTTCTAGCCATTATGAATGATCGCACTGATCACCACAAAAGTCATCCACAGCGCTGGAAGGACACCACATCATGCACTTTGACCCTTGTGAATGTTTCAGTAACCTTTGACCCATGGACTACGTATTCAAAAAATCTGGACCCGTAATGTCCTTAAGCAGCACACAGACGTCATCGACACCATTGGCAGCCATCTTACCATGCCAAATACAAAGGTAATACAAAGGCCTGTTCAATTTCGTTCCTGGCATGTAATGGCAAGCGAGCCAGCCATGGCCTTTTTATATGGCACGGAAAAATGGCCATCAGTGGCTTTAGTCAGTACAAAGTTATTAATTGTGAGTCCAGTTTTTATATGATGTTCATGTTTTGCCCACAATCACTTTGATTAATGTGCAGTTGCAACTAGATGGGTTAAACATGAAATTAGGAACAAAACTGTTGTATTCATCATAGTTTATTTTGCTCATTGATTCAGAAAAAGAATGAACTGACCTTCAATATTTTTGTATATTTTGAAAAGCATTAGGTTTGGCTTGAAAAGCCAGGGAAGAGTTCCATATATGGATGCCAGTAATTATTCCCTACAGTATTAGCCTTCTGAAAGCAAAAATATGTCTAGAAAAGTTTCATTTTGGAGGGAAAAAACAAGTTGTTTACTTAGAAAACACTTAAAATTTTTCAGACAAGACCAGGTTTGTGCACGGTGTTTCATGTGGCGTCCGTATATGAAACTATTTCAAAAAGCCAGTTTACAATATTGCTCCATGTAAACATAGTGAAGGGCTAGCACTCAAATTTACTCAAAATTAAAAATCACATTTGCAAACATTAAGGCCTCAGTCTAGAACAGAAACAGATGACGACAACCAAAGTGGCAGGTAAAATGTAACTTATCATGTTTTATCGTTATCGCTTTCGTAATTTATCTCTTTTTTTATAACAGCTTTGTGCACTTACGTGAACTTTCAAGTTTCATTCATTGGCTTTTTATATAGCTCCATGGGCCTCGGGCCTACTGCCACTGAGTGCTGGCATGACCATGACCGGCATGACCGGTATTAAACAAAATGGCCCCAGTCATCCAGACCCGGAGAAAATACGGAAATAGTAGCAAATGACATACATCCGTCTTTCTGCTGGACGGCAAACAACATATTTAAGATCTTACCTACTGATTTTTCACCCACTTGAAGTTTACAAGAAAATCGCCGGAAACAAACGAACTACGCAATATGCTTATGAATATGGCTCGAGTGTTGTGCAAAAGGGTACGTCAATTTGTCACTATTTATCACTAGAGCGCCCTCAGTCAACATTTAGGACTCGACGGCGGCGCGCTTGGACTGCATGCATCTCAGGGAGTAGTCCACTTATTCAAGCCTCATTGAAAACAGTGCTAAATCAGCATTGTTCGGGATCCAATTACATGCGTACCAACATCCCTGAGGTATCTGAAAGAAACAAGTTAAATTGTTTCATGTTCCCTAATCTTTCACTTTCTTTTCAACTTTCTGTGGGTTAACCGATGACATTTTGAGTTATACCCACAAAACAACCTCCCCCCCCCGAAAAGTTATTTTTCCGAAGCCTGCTAGCAGCCATTTTCAAGTGACAAGGGCTTCAACTTTCTCGGGCACTTAGGACCATCTTTCAACCGTATTTTTTAGCCATTCTGCTCTCAGACGAAAGCCCAAAGACCCAGGGAGTTGATTCTTGCAAGAATTTACAAAGTCTCACCATTTTTGGGGCCATACAGTCTCCTTTTTCAAAAGATACTGCGGCGGCACTTTTAATGCCAATGACTGGCCAGAAATTCTCACTTGAGTTAGTGGACTGCACCCCTCATGTCTGTGAGGCGACTGGCGGTTCACCTCCCCCACCGCCATCGACAGGCTGCTGGCACGAGTAATTGAACGTAATGTATTGTTTCACTTTTTGTGAAAGAAATACCTCACAGCCATGGGAGGGCATGCATGTGTATGTTTAGCTTGTCCTAATCTTTCTCTAGCCAGCTAAAGAGTGGTCTGAATCCAAACACCCCGACAGCTGACAGATAAAACGTCGGGCGACAAACGTTGAAAAACCGTCAATATCCGACGTCCTTCTGACGACATTTTTGCGCCGGGGATTCTGATCATTTGCTGACAAATGATTCTTTTGTTAATGTCTTTATGTAGCCATTGATAACATTTTGAGCATCCTGTTATGATATTCCAGGAACACACTTAATATTTGAAACCGCGGCTGGTTTTGGTTTTCGACCTCTCTGAAGTAGGCTAATCATGCTGGGAAGATGAAAGAGAAAAAAAATCTTATGACAATTCCTTTTTCGGGCAATGGATGGCGTTTTAATACAAAACTACATTCACAAAAGCAAAACCATCGGTCAAAAAATCAAATGCTTGCGAAACTAATGAAAAAAGGGCAAAATCACTTAACACAAATTAAGGTTAACGTTTACACTGTAAAACATTACTTTAGTAATTGCAATGCATTTCACAAAAGCACAATAAATACGTTTGATAGTACAGCTCGTGTAAAGTAGACTGTGTGAAAATGGTGTGCAATATTGTGCATTATTTTTATAGTGAAATTTTAGATGTACGTTACAGAGACTATACTGACGTCCATACCGACGTCAGAACATGGACCATCAACTGTCGTCAAATATTGACCATATTCAGACAAAAGTTCAACGTCGAAAGGTTGACTTCAGACTGACCACATTTTGACCAAAACCGGACGTTGAGCTGACCAACTCTGCGACGCATTCAGAAATAAAGTAGTTATGCGTCAGTGATCAACGTTGGCTCAACTTGTGGACGGCGACGTTTTGAGACCTTTGGTGGCCGTTGCCGACGTTGGGCCAACATCGGTCTGCTGCCTGGGCATTCAGATCAGTGCACATCATGCAGACGCCGCGAAATGTTGACGATTGGTAATTACTGAAGTGAACACTATCCAATAAATGCTCCATAAAAATTGCCAAGAAGTCAGCGTTCGTCAAAGTCGGTAATGTTTTTTATCCGTTTTCAGCTTGAAAACCGAGCTGTAATTTTTTTCATTGATGAATTTTATCTGTTTTTGTCTACAGACCGATACTGAAAAGACTGCTGGTTACCCTTAAGGGCCAAAATCGCACTGTGGTCCAGCCAGAACGATTTCATTAGAACTGTTCATGACAGCAAACTGACTGAAAATGGTGTTGTTGACAATAAATCTCAAGATATAACGACGCGGAACAGAGAGTCTAGCTAACCACGTAGCCAAGTCTTCTAATTCTGACCGCGATCGTAAATATCGGGATAAGTGTCAGCCATTTTTAAAAATCTGGGCCAATAAAGCACACTGATTGGTTCAAAGTTAGGGGGTCCATACCATTCCTATGACTAGGGTAGTGATATTTTGGGATCACTGTCATAGTTCATGGTTTAGGAACTGGTGAAATACGGTAAATTTGGCGGTGGTTAAATGGCTAATGTTGTTGATAAATAATGAGTGTGAACAATATCTGTCTCCATGTTGGATTGAAGGGAAATCTCAAATTCAATTTCAGATCACATTAATTTGCCAACTCCCCATAAAAGAGAATGGGTTGCACATAGCAACAGCACCTCGGTTTCAACTTTCGCATTCACAGTTTTTCTGTGTAAGGTTCCGGCTATGCATAATTTGCGATGATGAATAACACATCAAAGAGGTTTGTGCATGTATCAATTTCATTTAATTTGTTTAAGTCCTAGTTTTTAATAAGTGAAAGATTCACGGTTTCAATGGGCTTGGTAAAAAATTCTCTGCCAAAAAGGCTGACTGAGAATGGGATGGCTACCTACGCCATACGGTAGGAACCTAGTACAAGGCTCTACCATGACAAGACTCCTTAGTCCTTAGAATTCTTAGGCGGTAGCCTCAGCATGTTCAGTGGGCTAGGATTTTACAGGGGGGGCACAAGGGGGCACCAGCGTCTTATGGGGCACCAGTTTTCAGTTGTGTGTGATTTTTTGGGGGTGGGGGGCAAGCTTTTAGGCCTTGCTCAATACCCATTCATCCGTTTTTTTAGTGTGTGTGTGGGGGGACACCAGGAATTGTGGGGGTGGGGGCACGTGCCCCCGGCCCCTCCGTGGCTACGCCCCTACCTAACCTAAATGGGGACAAAAGTTTTTCTTCGTGTAACACAGTTTTCTTGTGTAAATATGGATTTGTCCCCTTAGTTCCCGAACAACTCGTCTCTATTTACGGAGCACAATAAACACATTGGTCTATTGGATTTAAAGATTGAGGGACCAACGTTAGGCCTCTGTGGAATCGATTTTCTCCGGTAATGGATGATTGTCGGACTAGGCCTACCGGTAGGCCTACTTCGCACTTCATTTTCTCGACATTTCAGGATGTTTTTTTACCAATTTAGAGTGCATGCCACGAAAATTACTGTAATTTATGAGACATACTGCGTGAAAAAGTAATCACTATCAGGCCAATTTTGCGATTCACGTTTTCAGGCGCTGCAGTTTACCAGGTTCTCTGACGTCAGTGTAATAATCCGTTTGTGGAGGTGATTATAGGTGACGTTATGGAGGCTGCAGACCGGAATTACTTGTGTTATTGTGTTCCCTCGCATTTGTTTTGTGCAGTGAAAACAGTGCACCCTGTTTTGTGAAATGGTTAGAAAGCTGGCGGTGTTTGTTCGTATACCTAGATGTGGCATCTTCCTGGAAAATGGGCAGCGGTGCCGGCAAGCCTGAGGATTCTAGTGACGAGGCCGAGGCTTCCACGCAGATTACGGTCGCGAGCAAGAGCTCGCCGGGTCACCAGAGTGTAGACAACCGGCGCAGAAGCTCGCAAGAGCAGCACCAAATCGTTCCAGTGAAACGAGTCACCAAGAACGAACAAATCGACTCAGGAACAGCGATAGCAGGGGCCACTATGAAAAAGCACGACGATACGTCGGGTGCGAAGAGTGAGGACGATCTGATTCTCAGCGAGAAAGCGAGCTCGGACTTCGACGACGACGCCTTCGAGCAGTTCTGCGGGGAAATCGACCACGTCTTGGAGGGGCGAACCTCGCAGGAGCAGAGAAAGTCATCGGTGTCTTCGTCAGTCGCCACGCGTCCAAGTGCACACCATCAAGCTTATCCAACTCCAAAACACCGACAGCTTGTTCTACATTCCCACCACCGCCAGCAGCCACATGATACACAACAGGAGGAAGTTCGACAACAAATTGCATCATACCAACCGTATTCTTCTGAACAGCAGCACTATCTCAGCAGGCCGGTGCAAGCAGCAAATGTTCCTCCACCCCTTGCCACACGAAGCCTGGAAAAACCCCTCTCCACCTGGAAGCGACCCGAAGACTTGGCCCACAGGGAGCAGGTGCTGAGAGACCAATACCAGGGCACACGGATCCACACTAAGGCCCAATCCACAGCTCCTCAGATGAGCGGAATGAGGCTAGCATCTAGAGAGGGCTTGACTATGGGGATGAAGCAAACCTCAGACCTGATGCATTTCCAGGAGCAGAGGGCAGAGTCAGATTTTGAGGATCCGTCATTACAAGTAAGGCAGGGCAGGGTGTGAAAAAGGACTTATAAAAAGTTGAAAATGTCAAAACTTCTCTTCTCGAATGCTGAAGATTTTTTTTACTTAGCTTTAAATTGGAAGACCTTATCATCCATGTGCATTCTGAAACCCATTGAGCTCCATTGACTCTTTCCTGCCCTCATTAATTTCTTATAACTATTGAACGAGTTCTATATCCAACTATGTCCATCCAACTGTGTACTGTGCAAACATTAGTGTACCAGTAACTCTTGTACAGTCATTCTAGAGTAAATTGCACACCATCTGAAAAATGTTGGATGTCTGCAATGCTATTCTGCAGTTATCTTTTAAAGTCTTACAGGATAGGTTTCTGACATTTTTAAAAGTTGTTTCATGGAAGACATCAACCTCTTGAATTCAAATAATACCCGTAGCTCTCACAATATCAACCACTTGGATTGCAGTACCAGCGGTTCTTCAATCAAATGTTACTGATAGATGACATGCTAGTTACATTTATGTTAACAGTTGTACCTGTCAGAATTTTCAGTAAGGGTATTTTATGTTTACTCCTTCATTGAAAAACAATGCCAAATCTCAGCTTCAACTTGTTTATTTCACACCAAATTTCAGAAGACACTGTGATACATGCCTGGAATAGTACATTCTTTTTAGTGGATGGAGAAACCTGATAAAAAATTCAGAATGTAAAGTATGCTTACATCAGATCATCATCAAATTTCAGAGGTGAACTCTGTTCTTGTTTGAATGCATTTGAAATGTAATCAGATAATGATTAAAATGGAAAACAGTATAAAGGGGTGTTACTATGGTTACTCATCTACACCAGGATTTTAAAAAACAGTTTATTGCACTCTGCCTGCCTTCTAAGGTTGTTTTGGTTTGTGTTTTTTCAAAAATGTGCTTTCTTAATGTCTTTCATGGCCCATTAAAAGATTTCTTTTTTGATGTGAAAAAATACAGATGCATGTACATCTAAATTCATACAGTTCAAAAAGTGTTATGCCTTTAAAGAGTTTTAAAATTCTACTGTTTACTACTGTAGACTGTCTTATTTTAATGTGAAACATTATCTTGCCACGAAAAGAAAGATAGTGTTTTGTAAATGAACAAAAATAAGCATTCAAACTTTATAAATGTCCTTTTCATGCTAAATCGTGTTTACTTCTTTCCAGGACAAGGAAGGCTTCGATATTTCCAAATTTAAAGCAGCAAATATAAAGGTAAGCCACTACATTTGGAAAGTTCTTTTTCTTTGTTTTTTTTTTTGGCAAAACTTTGGAAACATGTAGGAGTATTTCTTTAAATTTTTATAGTTGGATTTCACTTCTTTTGTTTTAGTCTGCACACCCTCCAAAGTTTCATTCTGGTAATTTTTCTTATTATTGGTGCTTCAAGTCTATTCTCTTTTGTCTTCACTTCTGCCAGTATCCTCTGTTGCCATATGAGATCAAACACACCAGCCCCCCTGCTTCTTTTCGTCATTCGGTTGCTAAGATACAATAGTGTATTACGCAAGAATCTATCAAGTAGCAGGTGTTCACCAGTGTAATAAGCTGTCTCTCAAACCAATCATGTTAGGGTGCAGTCTGAATCTTATCCCTGTATATAAAAAACAGAAAAGTAAAGAAAAAATAAACAACCTTCTTATGTAATGGGTTCAAGCTGAATTTTGTATCATACAAAAATAAAAAATAAACAGTAAACAAAAACACTCAACATTTAAAATTCATAAATACGAAAAGCTTCCTCAAATTTGCTTTCTCATAAAGTGATCACCTGGGAAAGCTTGTCTCATGGTAAAAAAATTCAATTTAGGATTGTTTCATGTCACCCTGAAGCTAAGACAAACCTCTTTAAGGACCATTTTCAGTTTCTTCCAAACCCGAATCAAAGGATGTGAATTGATAATCATGTACGAAAGATGACCATAAAAAGTTTCAGTGTGGAAGTACTACAGTTTAAAGGATTTCTAAAACTATTCACCGTGTGAAGGGTATTACATCAGGTATATGCCCCCTGTCTCTTCTGTAAAAACTTGTTTTGTGTGTATGAGCTGAAAATAGAAATTTTGAGGGGCAAGTAAAAGACAGGTTCTTGTCTTGACCTGCTTCCTTGTTTCCCCTGGAAAGGGGAAAACATCCTCCCCTTTAAAAACTCTCCGGGAGAAACTATTTTTGTACTCAGCCTGACTCCACTCTCTTTATCTCTCTCAGAAAAATGGACACAAGATGGACAAGTTGCTCCCTGCGACCTACAAAGGCTATGGTGCCAACCTGTCCCGCCAGGGCACCTTGCCCTCACTGCACCGTGGCAGCATCTCCTCCACGATATCCAGCTTGGGCACACCTGCCAGTGACAAACAAGGGTACATGGCTCATTTTTTCCCCTTTGATCTCATGCAGGCTTAAAATATACAACTTCCACTGCTGTCAGTGAAGCCCCATTTGTTAGAGTGGATTGAATATGAAGCTGTCAGCATCTGTCATGTTTTTCTTCATTTTCCCATAATAACGGGAAGATTTTTTCCATTGTGCAAAGTGTAAAGATGAGCCTCGTAAGCTTATTTATGTGAAAGGTTTCTACTTAGATCTGTCTGATACAGTTTAACAGCAACTAGAAACGGTTTGCAAACTTATTCCGAAAGAATCTTTTGAAGCCAAAAAATGGTTAGGCCTACATTTTAAGCAGCTGGGGAAAGGTTCAAGGAACTTCTCCACTGGATTTTGATTTGATTGAAAATTTTACATATTGCACCTTCTCGACAAGTGAATTTAGTAATGAACCATTTCATTCTTTTTCAGACAGTTGAGTACAGTTGAGTAATAGGAGAATTTTCCTGCAACTTTTTTGTTTCTAATTGAATACAGAAGGTCAATTTCTTGCTATCTTTTCCCACCTCACCAAAAGAACGCCCCCCCAAAAATATGTATAGTCACGTCCATGGCAGGAGAGCATGCCATGTGCAATCACACTCAAGTGGCCTCCAATGCAAGAAATGACAGCTTCAATCAAAAGCCACTGCCTTAAGTCTCATCAGCCGAGTGTCCTTAAGATGATATCTTCATTTATCTGGCAGTTCTGATGTACTTGTAATCTTGATTGTATCTGGGATGTGTTAACCCTTTTATCTAAATTCAGGGAGTGTATGTCACAAAACACAACAGCTTAAAATTAAAATTCAAAGGAAATGTATGTCAGCCATCATATGATATCTCCTCCCCCCAGAAAAAAATTCCAAGATATCCACTTTAAAAGGCTTTTTACCGAATCTGCTAATTGCAGTTTTCAATGTACCACAGCTCAGTACTTTTTACTGACCAAAGTAATGTGTCACTGTAGGCACTGGCTGTTCTTTGTGATGTGTGAAAGCATTGGGCTTTTAACATACACAATAAAGTGCAGTAGGTCACACTAAATACATGTACATGTAAACCATACACATTAATAGGCACTTCCGTCACTGATATTCCAATGGATAAATTTTATATTTACCTGAGCAAAACAGTACAAATGAAGGCAAATGGACTTTCATGGGGGATTTTCCAAAGAGGAGGGGGTTATGTAAATATTGAAAGTGTGGTTCAAGGGATAAAAAATGTCTATTCAAACAATTTCAGTGTGATAAAAGAACCATTCCATTTTACAAGAAAATTCACTTTCCAACAAGGAAACGAACCATTCAATGACAGTGTTGAATTACAATGAATAAAACTTAAGAAAGAGTTATTAACAATAAATTCTGCAGTAATTATGTCCCACTTTAATTTTCTACTTTGACATCCATGATCCTACAGTGGAGCATCTAAATAAGCAAATCCACAAACTTGAAGGAAAAATCTCCAAACATAATATATGCAGCCATAATGACATGTGCCACACATTTCTAAATATCTGATGAAATTTAAAAAGAGATAAGCTTGATAAGGCCTTTGCATGGTTTAGTGGCATGTCATTGAAAATGACTTGTTTCTCACCTTGCATTGTTCGTTACATTCTATTATATTATTTCTGTTTAGATCTTCTCCCTTGGATGATGGCAAGGAGCTGAAGTACAATCCCTCCGAAGAAGCTCTCTTGGATTTCATCGAGAAGGAATACTCTTAAATCACAGCTCACCGAAACACAATGCAGCCAAATGCTTGCCTCAAAGCCTACAGGAGTTCTTCACAATTTCATATTCCAATCTTTTATTTTCCTAACTCTTGAAGGGAGGGATAAAAATTGAACGTAAATTGTCGGTCGCAGCGCGAAGTGACGCACAGAGTCATTTAGTTACACCACGAAGTGATATCATGGTACAGTCTACAGACTTTTTTTGACACTCGATACATCAGTTTGTGATGTAGCAATTATCCATGGGACATCAGTTTGTTGTGTGGCTGAACGTGTGCAAAAACCCAGTTAGAAAACTTTGTACCAGACTGTCTTTCTTTCGCCGGTGAGGGTGCACTTCAACTCCAGCGGATTGATCATTTCTGTCATGTCATGACTGACAGCTTGACCTCAATAATGTTTCTCCATGAAAGGTGCTCAATGGCAAGAACACATACCTTATGCAAGGAACATGTCTGACTCTCCATCAATTAATTATGTTCTGGGTCTTCTGTTCATCTCAGTTGCCCTCATCTTGCCCTGTGATATTTTCCAGTGGCAGTCTCTTTGCTCCCTTGAGGCATGATGACCCATGTATAGTTATCTTCTGAGTTCAAGATATTGCAACTGAGTGCACTCAGGCCACGAGTCAGGTAGATGCAAGTCAGAAGCAATAAGTGTCAAATTAAATGATATCTTTTGCCTTTCCTCCATTAGGACCATGACGTGCGAACTGCTCATCAGCCCCAACAAGTTAAGCCATGTCCAAATGGTTTTGGCTGTGGCTGGCAATGCTTACAGCCTCTTCCCACCAACTTGCATGTTATGTGTACTTCAGCAAGTTCTCTATAAGCAGATAAAACCTGCACAAAACAGTTTACTTAAACATCACACCACATGGATTTGTACAGAATGAAAAAAAGAGTCATGGAAATTGCTGATAGACCTTCTTTGATAGATACCAACTCAACACGTTTCGCAAATTCTGTAGAGGTACTTCCCAAATGGTTCATGTTGCCTTTTTCACATTCAGATCTATCTAAAAATGATCTCCATCAGCAACAAAACCCTATATCCTCAAAGATAAGCTTCTCCCTATTCCTTTGTGATGCTGGATACAAAAGGAGTGAGTTCAAGCAAACACGAGACAGCAGTCAACAGAACTGGGCCAAGTAAACAACAAAAGATGTTGCAAAGGCATCCGGCGTTGTTATGGCAACGTACTCTGTTTTTCCACTGTGTGAGTTTCCCTTCCTTCTGCAAACCACATTTGGTACCTTATCCACTGCAATTTTCAGTGTCTTTTTTTTAATTAATCATAAAATGGTTTCTTTTGTTGGAAAGATTATGTGTATTTTCAATAGAGTTGAATTTTAATATTTTATATTGTAGTGTTTGAAATTTCAATGAGATTCATTTTGAATGTTTAAAAAATGTGATTCATTATTCCACTGAAATTGTGTAAATATGAAACAGATCACTAATTAATTTGTACAAGTTACACAATTGTTTAAAATGCACTTGTTGCCTTGTGGGCATTAAAGTTTCTTCACATCATTTAAATTTATACACAGGTACATGGTACATGTAGTTGGTTTTTTTATGTGAAAGCTGACGGCAAGAGTTAATATGAAAAACAGTACTAACGTTGTAAAATGACACAGTGACAGCTTCAGTGACAGACAAGGTGATGAATAAAAGATACACTGACAGAAACAGTGACAAACGTTAAGATAGCGACAGATACCCATACAGTTGTGAAACAACAGGCTCAGCGAATGATGCTGAAAAAAAGACAGTGTAGTGTGCTGGCTGCCTCACAGGAGTGTTTAAGGCATCTGCCTCTTTAAGAGAGAATCACATAACAAGATTGTATTATTTCCAGGGCCATGGTGAAGTTCATCACAACTCTAATAACAAGCTCAGGTCCAAAGATGAGCTATGACAAGGGACTGCATTAGTCACTATTTGAATAGCTTGTGTCTTGGCTAAAGACTGGATGACTTGTGATGGACTTGCAGGGACTCGCAATGAACTTGACAACAGTTCCAAACTTTCCTAACCCCATTTCTTCTTGCACTGAATTTTGCACTTGATGTGAAATTCATTAAACTTTATAAGATGGCAAGAACACTTCTTTAAACACATAAAATATGAATAAAGAAATACATCTAGGAAGGAATACTTTGTTATACCAAGTGTCCTCCAAAGAACTACAAATGCAACATCTACTAAGCAGCATTTATTCAACTGCGATGTTGGCTTCTGTCGCATATAAGAATGGTCAGAATCAAACATTGAAACAGGGAAAGAAAAAAAGAAAAAGAAATTTTAAAAGCATGCAGCTTTGATCACCCTGAAACAGACAAATCCTCAATTGACACATTAATATTCTGCCCATTTTATTAAGTTCAAGAGAAGCTGACAATGGATTTTTAAATTAATAATATTGCACATTTTTATTTCCATTAATCATAATTACAATGCAAAATGTGTGTATTACAAACTTCCTATTTTGTATCACTAGACAGGCCAAATAAAGAAATTCCTACAACAAAATGTCACATTTTGATTAACAGATCAGAGGAAGTGATCAATCAATTTCCCCCCTCCAAAAAAAAATGCTTTTACTGAGTTTTAGAGAGATCACATATGACAAACTAGACTTTTTAACACATGGCCTTAATGATGTGTCTGGAGGCTGTTTGCTAGAGGAGAAAGCTATACACTCATAAATGGTTAGTAACCAAGGAGATAATGAACTGCCATATGGGGAGAAAATGCCCACAAACAACTCTGAGTGACAACACTGCTGCAGCTAAGAGCAATTCTTTGTCATTTACCCTCAATGACAGGTACCCGTACTAGCTGCCTTCTTTGTCATTATGTGGCAAGATCCATCATTTCAGTGTCAAATGCACAGTGACATCAATGCATGGGCAAAACGCATGTGTGTATTAAGCTCATGAACACATGGGTGAGTGCAGTGCCACCACAGTTAATGACGTCTCCTTGGATCAGTCTCAGTACGCCCAAATGCTGTCTTTGCAAGCACAAACCCCCAATTCAATACGGAAATTTAGATAAAGTAATGCATTGTCAGTTGCTGTTTACAGTCCATAATGTCAACACTGTACATTCTATTAAACTTGTATTTTACAAATGCGGTATATATTCCCTCTTGTAAGAAAACCAATATTGTATTGAAAACTGCAGTTGCCAAAGGCCTAAAATGCCTCCAGAAAATATAGAATGCAGTACACTGATCAGAACTACTGGAATAAACTCTCGTCATGTTTACTAAAATATGCTCAAATCCAGAAATGTACCGAACATCAATGGCATATTTTTCATATCTGGACAAAGTCGGGATACTGGACCTCATGTACAGAAATCAGAGCTTGGCCGTAGTACAGTTCATAACCTGTCAAAATATCATCAAATTTGGGCATATACTTGGATGACTAACATCATGACTAACGTCCACTAGCGGTGGACGTACTAAAAATTCTGAGAAAGAACCGGGATTGAATTCTTCGAGTTTCTGAAGAATGAGAGCATTCTTCAAGTTCGTGCTGTCGTCCGCAGCCATGCATGCTATGGATGCATATAGCGCGCGCACTGTGGTATTTCCACGGTAATACATCACAGAAATCACTATTCATTATATGCTAATGAATCATGACGACACGTCCATTTTTACAACTGCAGACTGGACTCCAAGGAGAAATAGGTATAAAATCTGTGTTTTATTAACACAAAAACGTGTGTTGCTAGGGAGATATGTGCCAGTTTTATTAGACTTGATTCTTCTGAATAGGATTCAATATGAGAAAAATCAACATCGTTGGAATTGGTCTTCAAATGTCATTTATTTCACTGCCAAGGAAACATTAACCACTCGGTGCCAGGGTTTCTTATACTGGAGTCCTTGGGTTTGTATGCTCAGCCAGGCTGCCCAAAATTAGACAAAGGAGCTGGGCCTTGTAACAAAAGACCGTACTTGGAACAAAAGACCCGCTGCTGGGAATTACCGTCCTTTTTCAGCTGGCATTAGCAGAGGTAATCCGTCATTGTTTTGAAAAAGTATACCAGTGATTGCTGTATTCAGCGTCTGCGGATTATTAGCACAGACAAGAGTGCTCCAGCACTCCTGTCATGAACAATACAGTACTGCTGCATGCTAATCCCGCCGCATTTGAAAAGACACCACTGCCATTCAGCAACGCACTGGGCCAGTTTCGGAATCAAAGGAAATTACGCAATACTGCACAATCTGGGCACTCTTTACTGGGCGGCAGGCCTGGCTGCAATATTCGGGCGTCAATGGAGGTTGCTTGTTAGATTAGAGTAGCCACCAGACAGTCATTCGTGTGGGTTTAAACGTCCAGTAAATGAATTTATGAATTCTTGAAGAATTTTGAAAACAGAAACTCTTGCGTATGGGAAATGGTGCCTGTATGCACTCTGTCAACACACAAGGGTGTTGTTACTGAGTAACTATTCACATTTACAAATTGCCTGTATAGACCTTTAAATTTATGATTGTGCATGCATGGGCACAATGGCATTGGCGGCACGGGCAATTGAAAATGTACGGGGATGCAATTTCGATAATTTTCTCTCAGGTTTTCTGGATTTTTTTCTTAAGAAAATCCAATTAAATTGTTTTTGCTATAAATTTCTAATCTAAGCAGGCTTTTGAATGCTCCGTAAAGACTTTACAATCATGATTTTTTCTGTGCGCATGAGAACAGGAGGGTAAAATCCCGTTTAGATCAGGAACTAAAAACAAAAAAGATTTAATGGGATATTCTGAAGAAAAAAACGAATACAGCTAGAAAACCTGAGAGAAAATGATCAAAATAACACCCCTGTACATTTCCGATGGCCCTTGCCACCAAGGCCATATGCGGGCATAATTATGAATTTATTAGTGAAAAGGTCTATTGGACATACATGTAGCCTGGGTTTGAATTGTTAGGCTAAGTAAGAACAAATTTAATTTCTCGTCAGCTTTTCTTGAAATGAAAGAGCGAGCTTTTTAATTTTTATTTTTTTGCACCAAAGCATATTCGTTCAAGAAGGCAAGTGAATTTTCCATACTCTTGCTAATAACTTTGTGTCTGAATAAATAAGCTTTCACAGATTTTATAGGTTTACAACTTGAATTAATGGCTACATGTTGTTAGAAACAAATAGTGTCAAATACATTGAAAAGTTGACCCCCAAAAAAGGAAAATCCTAAAAAAGGGACAGACAGAGAGAAAGCAGCCAAGATGAAAAACAAGGTTTTTTTACCCAGACTAATGCTTTCCATGTTATTTCTCCTCCAATAATCCCCACCCCCCCAAAAAAATGCTAAAAATAGAATATAAAAATACACTAAACATTTTAAATTGACAAAAACTCCAGACATTTTCTCTAATACATTACAAGAATAATTTATCCAAAAAATTAAAAAATGCCTAGGCTACCTTCATCAGTACTGGCTGGCACCCCCACCTTCCCTTCGAGGGTCAGACACAGCGTACATGATATCCTTCTCCTTCATTACACTTTGTACCATGGCGAAGCCTTTTTCCTTCCATATCTCCACGTTGTGGCCCTTGGCCTTTAAATCCGTTATAACTTCGTCTGGAACCTCCTCTGTGTACAAATAATAACACAAGTCAACACTAAACTAAGTATAACTTCATAAATTTGTAATGTTAACTCATAGAAAGGAATCTTTGAAATATCTGGTTTGAACTAGGTGTGCATTCTATGCAAGTGGCTTTTGTCCAAATCTGGCAGTAACATTAGGAGCCAAATCAGCTTCCATAAAACTTTCATTCACAAATACCTCAGACAGTTTCCTTTTTCAGTGACCTACAACGTGACTGTGTCTTAATATCTGATAATGTCCGCTGAGATTTGATAATGCCCGCTGCGTAAACATGCTCTGGTGCCTGGATGCAAGACAAAACTGTCTATTGGTTATTGGACCTATTGGTCAAGAGTCTGTGTGCGATATGCCACGAACAGGGCAAGCTTATATATGGAGATGCTTCTGGAAAACTTGCACAAGGAATACACCATAAAGTGGACGGGGGTGTTGGGGAAAATTGTTGGAAATCTATCATATATTGACTTCTTGTGACTCTCTAACTAAAAAAGGTATTTATGAATGGAAATAATATGTGCTGGGTTGGTTTTAAACTAACATTTAAGGCCAGCTCAGGAAATCAAATGCTGATGATGCCCTTGCCTACGGTTTGGGCATTAGTCACGTCTACTTGTTAAGAACCTGTGGATGCACTATGCAGGTCTCAGGTATAAGTGTTCCATATGTCCTACTCTGTCCATGGCACCAGCACCAATAATTATATCAAGGCGCTCATTACACTGGGGCTTTAATGTCATGTGAATACTAAGTTCTACTGCACTTGCTACTTGGAAGTTTCCCAGAATCAAAAATCAAGAGAGAAGTCAAAGCTTAAAAACACTTTGTATCTTAATGCCATGTCACGTTACATATATTTGTGTAGGCCCTCAACTTTTTCGTAGGCCCCTGAATTTTTTTGTAGGCTGTTAGTTAGCACAGTGGCTATTGCACTGTAGTTTGAACTCAAATTTGCCCTTAGCAGTGAGTCAGCACTTCCTTCCAAGTCAACGATCATCACAACTACATGTAAATCCGGACTCACTTTCCAGAACCACCTTGTCGGGAATTAAGGATGGATAGGCCCGCTTCAGTGGCACTGTGGCATTGGCCAGTGAGGACTGGAAGCCCAGGAGCTCCATGACGACATAGGCCAGGGCTGCTGTGATATGGACACCGCCCTCACCCCCTGTAGCAAACCTGCGCGCACAGGCAGTGGTGGAGTTGCGGCCCACGATGGGTGCCATGTGGGACTGTGGTCGCCGGCCAGGGGCAATGTAATTAGACTGTAAAAGGGACAACAAATCATCCCGATTTAGGTGCAGCAAAAAAAATCTTCTTCTGATACTGCATCGTTCAAGTGAAAGCAACTATTTTCGTGTACAAAACTTCAATCAATGTTGCTATACATGTATACTTCTAAACCTAATCAGTCTCAGGGTTGGCTCATAGTTAGTGCAAAAGTATCCACAACCACAACCACAAATTATGTCAGATCAAATATTCATGCCATAAATTCACAAAATTGAACATATTCCAACTTGAGCAAATTTCTTTTTGTGACATCATATTTGCTTAACATTTGAATTTACTTGAATTATGATCTAGCCTTGATTTAAGACTTAAAATTCAATATCCTTGTGCTAAGTACAAAGCTCATTTTTTAAAACGTCGAACATCATCATTTTTATGATGCAGGCCATGGTCTGTGCATTAGTGCTTTTTGCTATGAACAGTCAATGGAAAAACTAGCATTGCCTGAGTAACCGGCATTTGAGAATGTGACTTCTTTTGAAAACACTACATCTAAGTGCTTCTCAAAATGGAGCCAATATGAGCACAAGAAATCAGTGAGAAAGTAGTGCTGCAAGTAAGTGCAAAGGTTCTGTTTGGGTTTGGTTCGGACATGCTTCGGAAATTTTTGCCGAACTTCAAGTTCGGTATGGACACGTACACATAATGCACATTGAGACATTGAAGAGCATGTTACAAAATACGTTAATACAAGCGATGAATCTCCTCTTCATCTCCATCCACGAGCAGCCTCGATGTGAACATAATTTCTTTCAAAACTGTTTCCCCAAGGTTAGTTTGGGAGTTAAAATTCCACAGAAAGTTACCATTGGAGGGGTGACAGTTTCCAACTGTGTTTTGCCGACAAAAAGCAGTGTGTTTGGACCATGCTTGACTCAACAAAACGATCGTACTATGATCATTTCATAGGATATGTGAAAACAGAAAAAAAAACAGCATGCTCAAATGGGAGTTCCTTCTTTACAGGATACAAGATCAAATTAGATTTCAAGGTAACTGTGTTTTGGTTATTTTTCACGAAACAAATTCAACTGCCAAACCATGGCTTTCGATGCATTTGAAGAAGAACCTTGGTATCAAGTCAGCATTCTTTCCCAGGACGGCGCCCACGTGGCCAAAAGGGCAATTTTCCATCAGTCTTTTTCAAATGGATACCGGCATTTTGTTATTTGAGATTTGCGAACAACTTAGAGATCGAGCAAAATTCCATTACAACATATTCACATTATGACTCTGATCAAACACGATCAATGGAAGGCCGTGTGAACCAAATCTTGTCGTGCGCTGGAGTGCTGCACTGGCGTGGCCCGCTGGCAAAATCTGTTCTCCTTCCGGAGTTGCCTTCGATCGAGCACGAGTCCAATTGTGATTAGCATCCAATCAAAATTCTTTTTGCACGGCCATTTATGACATAATTGGCCTAAAATGGAACGTACAGGCATGGCTATTGGAAATTGGCAAACATAATGCTAAATTTGAATATGCATAAGCACAATTAGATGCACTGAGAATTTAGAATTGTTGTGCAGCGGAAATGCTGTACGTTGCATATTCTTGTTTGATTATTAGTGAATTCTCACCAAGTGCTTTTTACAACCATTGCATGATGGGGGGCCATGTATGTACATGTACAGTACATTTACAGTACGTGTGTACACACACATGTGCTAACCGCTGGTGCAGCACAACTCGTTATCCATTTTTCGGTATGTTTGCTTTTTTATCACGTTTTCTTGCGTGCATTCCGTGCGCTATCAATGCAGTGGCATATTAAAGCCAAACATCCGAACCGACCAAATTGGTTTGGTTTGGTTCGGTTTGAAAGTGCCATGTTTAATGATTTTTAGTTCAGTTTGGTGGTTCGGCTGCAGCACTATGAAAAAGTCAGGAAGACTCAACATGAAATAAAAGTGGTTACATTGATAATGGCGACATTTCTAAGTCTATTAAGTTTATAAGTGAACAGGAATTGTCTGAACCATTAGACAAGAGCTTATATTCACCTCGCTGCTATTGGATTTTGGATTCTTTCCCGGCCAATCAAAATCGTTCATTACGTTGTTCAGGATCACCCCGCTGGGTGTCATTAGAAGAGAACCAAATGCGGTGTTGACTGACCTGAGTAAAAACAAGGAAACGATAAGTTGGCTGAGAGCCAAAAGATTCCCTAGACCTGTGTAAGCACTCGGTACTTTGTGAGAGAAAATTGGTGGCATTGTGAAAAAATGTTGGATGGGGTAACACAAAGTATCTGATCTGTTAATAATAATGTTTATTGTCAATTTGTTATTCTCTTTGAGAAAATTTCAAGGCGTCCAAGTGATCTTAACAGGCTGTTTTGAGAAAACAGTAGCAAAACATCATCTTCATTCATGTTGATATATCTGACTTTTTTGCATGTGTTCTCCTCCTGTAAAAACTAACAGTCAAATTTCCTTTGCTATTTAAAGACACCAATGAGCTGCAAGCTTCAGAAAGTGTGACAAGCGGGTTTGTTATTTGGCTTCATGAAATGGAAAGATAAGAACAATTTGTTGTTGGAAGAACCGTTGTTACGAT